GAGGTGGACCAGGCAGGCAGCTGGGCACAGCTTCTTCTGAGCTCTCTCAAGTCACTTAACCCCTTTGCCAAATTGCTTGGTTTTTCTGTGCCCTTAAAGGTATGCTCATTTATCAGCTAGAGAAAGAAAAGCTCCCAAACACTTTCAGATTTTTAGATCATTGTGAAAAGAGGAATGCTGGCAGTGTGTTTGTCTTCATGGGAGGGAAAGAATAAAGATTCATTTATTGCTTACCGTACATTAGACAATGTGCTGCAGACTTCCTACCCGTTGTTCTCATTAACCTTGTACCAGCTCTGTGAGTTAGTGCTGTCATCCTCATTTTATAGAAGAGAACTGTTTTACACTTTTAGGGAAGCAAAGAGTTGGAGTAACTCACTCAAGCTGATGGAGTAAGGAAGAGGACCTGGCACTTAATTCACAGCACTGAGATTCCAGAACTAAATGCTTATTAGGAAGGAGACTGCACCTTAGGGGAAAGTCATTAACACTGTGCTTTCGGTAGCTGTGAAAATATCCCTTAAAGAAGTGCATCTTCAATTAGAAAGCCAGGGACTGAGCAACAGGTCCACTGCCAACCAGTTACATATCCCTAGTGCTTTCAACAACATCATCAAGCTATTACTATTTCCCCACTTTACAGATGGGAAAACTGAGATGTGGCAGGTTACAGAGTTTTCCCTAGGTTTCAAAGTTAAATGTTTCTGACCCCCAAGCCAGAACTCTCTGAAATAAACTGCACCTGCCAACCAACTGAATTAACTAATTACCTAACTAATTATTGAGATAACAATCTATTGGGCTGTTAGGAAAAAGAGTGATTATTTTTTTTCCCCATGCCTCTCTCCCTTTCCAGGAATAACCACACAACTATATATTTGCACAGCACTGTGATTCTGCCTTTGTGGCGCCCCTGGGAGTCTGGGTAGAGCCCAGGCTCCTCATACTTGTTGGGAGGGTCTTTCATGCAGAATTTGTAAAGCAGTCTGTGGGTGTGTAGCTCAGGGGCATCTGAAAAGCTCACCTTTGGAACAGGAACGAAACTGACAATAAACCCATGTAAGTTTGAATAACTAGTACCTCCTAATTCCTCTCTAGAACCCTCATTTCCACATTTTCAGTTGTGTTTTATAACCCAAGTCCAAGCCACAGCAATCCCACTAATGGACTAATTCAAACAACTGCTGATGTATTCCCACTTCACACGGAACACAGCTGTTTACTCCCACGCATGCCTTTACCTAATAGGTAAGAATGACAGTGCCAATGCAGCCCTGAACCTTGGAGCCGGGTTGTTAGAAAGTTGAGTGGCTGTTGTTTTGTTGTTGCTGCTGTTGCTGTTGTCTTAACTGATGGCATTTTCCATGGGACTAAGGCAAAAATCAATTAAATCTCTGAGCCTCTATTTTCCTTTCTGTAGAATGGGAGAGGCAGTTCCTGCTCCTGTTTTACCATCTCAAGCAGGCAATTGTGAGACATGTTCGCACATTTTCAATAAAATGACAATAAGTGCAAGAAAAAAAGAAGGCCCGGGGTTGTCCGTAAACCCTGCCACCAGTCCCTCATTGTAAAAAGCTGGCTTTAGCAGAGGGTTCTTGCACGGCAAGTAAACATTTAAGGAAGAACCTAGGGGACTTTGAGTGACTAGGTTTTTGTAGAGTCTCACATCATTGTGTGATACCGGCACCAATACTAAGCTGACATTTGGAAAAGGAACGATTCTGACTGTCAGACCAGGTATGTTTTAATGAAGATTATGTGTCTCTAAATATAAGCCACCACCCTTAGAAATTCAGTGGACATTTTTCAGTTCTTAGCAGCCTTTCACCAGGAGTCTTTCTGGTGAAAATGATCCCGGGGACAGCTGCAGACAGGAGCCCCTTCAGGACTGTCTTCAACACCTTTAAGTACTGCATTTGGGAAGGTTAAGGCTGTTGTGTTAATGCTGGAGGTGTGTGTGACAGACGACTAGAATTGAAGTCTGAGTGCACAGGGGGAGAAAACACTCGGAAAGGGGAGAGAAGAAGGGCCAGTTAGACTCAAGAACAGGACAGTGGCAGGGGCTGTGCAATTTGACCTGCCCCGAAAGGCAGTGGTGAGGTGTGGCTGCTCATATAAACAGATGCATGGCCACTCTTGTCGCCTCCTTGTCTTCCCAAGGCTTCTATGTGGGTGCAGCTGGGGGGCAAATTATCTACGCCCCATTACAGAAAATCTTAGCGCCAAGCTAGTTAGGTAAATCTGTTCTCTGATACGAATATTGATGGTAAACTGATACTGCAGGGAAAGACAAGATTGAAATCAGGCATAAAAATTAGTCAGAAAGAACATGAACTTGTGAAAACATGCCCAGGATGCTGGTACCTGCTGTGTTCCTAATTGGGTCCTCATGGAACATTTTCGCTCCTGCCCAGGCTGGGCTGTGTGCATCAGAGAAGCCCCATTTGGGACCCACTCATTTCTATGCCCCTCGGTGAAAAAGTAGCAGCGAAGCCCCGGAGTGGAAGAGAAAGACTCCCTAACCCTGTAGTCACAGCCTCTCCCTCCTCTCCAGCCAAGGGATGTTTTGAGTGTTGCCCCACCATTCTCAAAACAAACCTAATTTTGGTTAGGTTCAATGTAGTTGAAATTTTGCTTCATGAAGTCTCTATTTGCTATGACAATGGAAGCTCTTTCCAAACAATGGCTTGAGGTTTGACTTCTGTTCATACTCCCAAAAGATATGAACTAAACATTCTACTCTCATGACCACATTTTTATCCACTTCATAAAGGCTAGAATAAAAATGTCTTTCTAAGCATTGTGTTACCTCCATATGATCTTCCTGAAGTCCCTGTGCCTAAGACAGCATCAGATATAAAAGCATTTCTATGCTGACCTGTATAAGGGCATAAGGAACAGTGAGAGAGCTGCCATGTTCCCAACTAGACTGGGTACTTAGAATCCTCCGGATATTATAAATGGAAACAGAAAGCATGCACAGTTTCATTTTATTCAGAGTTTTCATCTTTCCCAGAGAATGGCTATAAATTCTTTCCCAAAGGTGTTGTATTTGTCCATTTTTGGCTCCTTTATTTGTGAGGTGTACAGAGATGAAATACTGGTTGAGATTCAAAAAACATCCATGAGATTTACCTTAAGCTTTCCCTGTCAGAGAGATTCTAAGAGCTAAAGAGATGGGAATCTGACATCTGGGAACTAGATTAAAAAGAAAATCCAAATTAATCCCAAGGAGCAATGTTCAATAGATAGTTATTTAGATATAGCATGTCACCCCTGCAAGCCTAGTGCTTGGTTGACCGGACTGCCCCTGTTTTGGTCTTGCCTGGAGGAGTTATAATGTGCTCATCCCAAACTGTCTTGAATAGAAAGAAGTGTCAGCCTCCAGCCCTAAAAACTCCTTGAGATTTTGTTTATTTCAATAGAGTTTATCATTACACAGAGTGTTCTGGAAGTAATAGAGAAGTACATTAGAAGTGCCTGCAAATGGAAATGAAATGTAAATTTAGATTGTAAATATGTGACTGCAGTAAATAGATAGCAAGAAAAAAAGATGAAGAGATTAGAAACTTATCACATTCCCCTAACCCTAAAGGGGATGTTTCTATAAATAGTTTAAAACTATTGAAGAGGAGCCTGGAGGAGGAAGGAGGAGAACAGAGGCAAACAGATTTTTCTCCTAATCCTCTTCGCGTTGCAAAATTGGAAATTGTTTCTCAATCACATTTTCCCAGGGGAAGAAAAAACATGTCTGTTTCAAGACTAAAGGGCATGTGGGTTGGTGTCTCTTGGAATTGATTTTGCGGATGGCTCTCTGCTAGTGACAAGTGCTAGCAATGCCCTGGCTAGGGGGAAAGGAATGAGCACAAAAATCAATCCGTGTGTCCGTGTGGAGGGACAAGAAAATTTCAGGCCCAGGATTTCTCCCGGCTTTCCCACTTCGCCTTTTACCTACCCTGCTTTAACCCGATTCATTGAGTCCCAGAAGAGCAGACCCTAGGATTCAAACCAGAAACTTTCAGGAGGAAGCCAGCTTAACTTCACTCAGGAGACCTGGCATCTTCTGACTTTAAAGATTCTTTTAATCCAGCTGTTTTAGGAAGAGCTCTATAAAGGTTGAAAGAAAGGTGAAAGAAAGTTTAAATTCTATGAAGGGAAAATAAAGATGTTAAATATTTGGCAAAGAAACTGAAAAATCTGGCACATGTCCAGAGTGGTAAAGGACTTTGCAAGGACAAAACAAGCACCCCAAGGAAACACTGCCCGCATTTCTCCCGGTTTTTCCTCAGGGGGAGTGACAGGGCCTGGTTTAAGGTTTACGTAAAGCTGTGTGCTGGGGTGTAACTCTGGGAGTAACTGGAAGCTGGCATTCGGGCAGGGCACCAGGCTGACTGTCCACCCACGTAAGTACAGAGACTGAGGCTGCACGCAGCTCCCTGCAGCCTCCTTTCCAGGCTGTGTCCGCAAGCTCTCCAGAAGGGCATAGACTTGTTCTGTGGGCTCCACCGCAGCGAAGCAGACCAGGGGAGATGGGAAAGCTCTCGCTTTCTTCTTCACTCTCCTCCCTTTCTGCAGTCAGCTCCCAGTAAAGCAGAATCTAGTGAGTCAGTGTGAGCAATTCCAACAACAGCCACAGAAATGGCAGTCCCCTAAAGTGCAATAAAGTAGCGGCTATGTGAGCGCCAGCCGGGGTGAGACGATTAGGAAAGGAGAAAAAAGGAATGGATTACCAAAGTGAAGGTGGCAGCTTAGCCATAAAAAGAACAATAAAGAATTTTTAATTTATATTTTAAAATATAGATATGTATTCAAATATACAAATATGTCAGGACTCCGTGGACCTCTGGAAGCCGAGGTCTCACCTGCAACAGCTGCCTCCTGGACTTACAGTCAAATGATGTGCAGACCTGTAGTTCAGTGCAGGGCTGAGACCCAGGGCCTTTCTGCAAAGGAAGCCCCTGTTCTATTTTTTGTAAAGCCTCTGCAGGCTGTGAGAACAGTGGAGGCAGCAACTTTAAACTGGCATTTGGAAAAGGAACCCTCTTAACAGTAAATCCAAGTAAATGTAAGGGAATGGGGAGAAGGAAGGATTCAAAGATGTCCTATTGTAATTACTTGCCTCTCCAAAGCATCCTTGCTTAGCTTCCAAATCTAAGATTTCCACTAGGGGTACATGGCCCCCATCAGAGGGATTAGAATTCCATTGTACAAAGACTAAATTACCTTCATCCAGAAACATTCCTATCATCCATCTTAAATGAAATTATTGGTGCAGGGAGGAAAATTGAATATAGGATCCTGAGGGATTCAGCTAAGGCCTGGAAATGTTTGCCAAAAAGATAGAAAGGAAATTGGCATGTTGTGACTATGCAAATTTAGTAGACCAAATATAAATCTTCCTGATGTAGATACTAAAACTCACCCAAATTTATCTGCTGAAATAATGGGACCTTGTGTTTTCATTAACTAATGTTAGAAATTCTACAGGCAGATTTCTTCTTTTATCTTCATTTTATCTCTCTTAAAGGAACTGTTCTCCTTCCCCAGTCCGGTCAGTCACTAAGGTCTCTATGGGTAGAAATGTCTGGTTAAGTCAGGTAGAGCTTTTAGCCAATTTTTTCCCTTGGTTACAAAATTAATTAATTTGGCCTCCACTTTACTTAGTTCTCTTGAGAATAAGGAGGAAATTCATCCGTCATCTGAGTCGTGAGAATAGAGCAGTACATTCTCCCTTTCACACACACCCACTGTTTTCTCAGTCAGGATGTGTGTGTGCTGAAAAAGTATAAGATGTTATATATGAAGGGACAGAACCATGGTTGCTCTTGGAACTTCTTGAAAATCTAAGTTGCTGGTGGGCTTCTCAGAGTAGTGCTTTAAAATAAAGCGGGGAAGACTGGCTTGTTATAACATTCAGGTAAAGGGAAAATGGGAAAAACTTGTAGCGCCCCAATCTCCTTTTGACATAAGCTAAGTGCCCTGGATTCTGAGTACAGGCCAGAAAGCCCAGCTTTATTTATTCAGCACTGCTTTCTATGATCAAGGGAAGATGTCACACAAAGGCATGTTGGGAAACACAGAGCAGACAAAGTTCTCTTGAAAACTGGCTGGGAGAGAGGGAAGTAAGTAAATGATTCAGTGACCCTCTGCATGCAGTTTAAGGAATGAGTGAGCCAGCCCTGTGGCCCAGGGCATGGAATGTTCTGGACAGGCCCAGCCTGCAGAACACACAGTGTGGTTAGCCATGCAGTTCTCAAGCACAGAAGAGCCTTGCTCGGCAGGGGTGAAATCGGCACGTCTTCGACAACAGAAACAATGAATAATACATGATGTTGTCAAATCTCATGCATGCAGCAGTCTCTGAGGTCCTATCAAATTAAAGCTTCAAGGGGATTCACATGAACATCTCAGGAGACTCAAGGACTCAGTCTCTTCACAGGATAGACAGGCAAGGTGGGAGATGAGAAAGTCAGTTTCATCTCTGATGACTTCCTAGAAACAGACTAGGGCAGGGATCCAGGCTGGGCTTTCTAGAACGCAGACAGAAGAGAGGAATGCTCTCAGCACTTGGTTTTCCTTTTGGGGCCTGCAAGCTGTACCAGCCCCTTTGCTTTAAAATGCTGAATGGGCCAGGGAGTTTGACAGCCTAACCATAGAGATAACATATGTGAGGCGGGATACTTCCAGAGCTCTGGACAGTAATCGTGTGCCAGATTTCCTCTGCAGTGGACCCTTTACATGTAGAGATCACAAGGCTAGAGTCCAAGAAGCCCAGGACTAAATTCTGTTTCCTTCGCAGAACACAGAGATTATTACAGGTGTCCACACATTTGAGCTGAGAGCAGGAACTTGATTTGCTTACGTGCTATACAAGCTGAAATGTGTGGGGTCAGGGAGGGGTCTTTCACAGTGGATACTGAGGAGTAATAAGGAGCTGGGAAGGGCTGTTTAAATGCCTGTCTTTAAAGTAGATGGATGTTTCTTCTGAGCTAGACATTAGCCTTTTTCTCTCACCCTTTTCATGACAATAACCAAGCTAAAGTTTTAACCTTTTGCTAATAAGTAATTGCTTGAAGAGATGAATAGCATAAAGTCAAAAAAAGTTTAACAGTTTAAAAGTTGAATTCAATTAAAGGACTAAACTAATCTGTTTTTTTATACTTTGGGCTAAGATTTGATCACAATCGTACCACATAATGAGCCTACCTTAATTTGGCTCTTTATATTTTTGCATCATCTGCCAGACACAGCCAAGGATTCCTATGGTTGTGACTGTCAGCAATGGGAAATTTTGTCAAGGGATGAAATTTACAGCAACCCCAAGTAAACATGCAAGAAGCTGTCCCCTCTGGACCCTCCCCTAACCTAACGCCTCCCCTGTGGTCCCCTTGGTTGCTGTGTGAGGTCAGACGCCAGAGCTGAGACTGTTGGCTGACTAGATGTCCAAGTTTTCCTGAGACTGTGGAGCTCCCCGACAATAAGGTCTTTCTTTGTTAAACCTAAATAGTCCCCAGGATAGTTAATCACCAAAACAAGATATAGATTTTCTGAGAGCTATTACCTACATTTCACCAAGTTCAAGACAGACAGAAAAGCCACACTGTATGAAGGCTCCATTTAATGCACCCAGCATTTTCTTTTCCTTTTGTATGCCAGGGAGTGAGGGAGAGCACTACAGACAGTGTTTCATGAGGCTGAAGCCTAAACCTCATCTAATTCTAGTCAGCCTGCAAAAGGCTGAGCACTCTCCTCCTGTCTCCTTGTAATCAATTCATTGTCATCAGAAATGTGTGACACCTCGAAGGGAGGGAAGGACATGTCTTGAAAACTGATCAGAGAAATTGTCCTGAAAATGATGCTGTTAAATGGAAATGAGACCTTTAGAAAAGAGCTGAGAAATCAGTAAGCTTCAGGACAGAAACCAAAGGAAACAGCGGTGGGGGCAGGCCCGAGAGAGCAGCAGGCCAGATGTGGAAATGGTCCTCCGACCTTCAGAGGGAGAAACCTGGCTGGCCACCTTGGTCCAGGCCCCATTGGGTAAGTTTATTTTCCCCACAATTAAAATAGTAAGATGTCAGTGACCTCACAGGTTGTTGCAGGGTTCTTGTAAGGACCTGTATTACAGTGCTAACAGTGGCAGTGCTGCCTCTGGGAAGTTGATGTTTGGACCAGGAACCACCTTGACTGTCCATCCAAGTAAGTGTAAAAGGACGGCAGCATGTGGAGAATTCTGGAATCTCACCCATGTTGCCAAGCTTTAAAGGAACAGATACTTACTGGAAACCACATCTTGCTTGTAGTTATCTAGTGTCATCCAAGGTCTTTTTTTTCTCTTCAGGCTCAATATGCAGATCCGCTTTTGAACTCTAGACCCAGCTCTCTCCCTTGTTGAGTAAAGCTGTCCTTGACCTTCCCCTTGGAAAGCTAGACTCTTCTCTGCTTTCAGGGCCTTCTCTGAAGTTGAGGCCCTACCTTCTTTCCAATTCTATTTTTTAGCACCATTCTGCCAGGCAGTTCTTCCTTATATCAATCTTAAATTCTTTTCGGCACACCTGAGGCCAGTTCCCATGGTATCACCCACAGTGGAGCGGGATAATTGGGAGCAGTTTGAATAGCACATGATCTTCAATTCAGAATGGGTTTTAAATGAAAGCAGAGAGGGGGAACTGAAACCTGAATAGGAATCTGAGGCCTTATTTCAAATCCTTCTATGTTCCTACTGCTTCTATAAATGCAAAACTACAAAAAGAAAGAAAGCGCAGACAGAAATAAGCATCCACTGTGTCCATTTCCTATCACGGAAACCACAGGCAAAGGATTACAATTAATTCCAAAGAGTTTCAGATACAAGGCTTAGTGCCTTCCTCCTCACGGTGACTTGTACCCTTGCTGATAATTAGAGCAGATAGAAAGATTTAGCTTTGGTGTGTTTGTGGCTGCACCCCACTGGGAAGAGAGAGAAATGCAACTACTTTTTAAGATTCATAAAGTTCCTTCTGTCAGTCGTCATAAAACTCCTGGCTGCAGGGAGACGTGTGACAACTCTGAGACGCTGCTATGTGGAAAGGGGACTCTAGTAGCAGTGACGCCACATAGGCTGGAAGGTCAAACTCACAGCATCCCCATGTCCAGGCTTGGGTCTTTTGTGCAGGGGCCCTACGAAAGCCAAATGGACATGAATTAAGGAGAGCCTGGAGCTTGGCGTGTGCAGGTGCTTAGAAATGAAAACAGTAAGAAATGGGCAGGGAAAACCATTTAAGCAGGAGTGTCTTTCCCTGCAGTTTGATAAGCCTGGAATGGGAAAGCAGTTATCACAGAGAGGGGCACCCGACTCCGATTGCTATTAGAGGGCACTGTTTTCCCAGGATCTCCACCCAGGACCATGTCTTCTCACACAAAGAGATGAGTCCAGTCCCTGCGTTTTTGGAGCTCCTGTGCAGGCCTGGCCACTCAGGCAGATAGCAGAAGTGCCACTTCTATGTATGTGGAGGAGGTGTCTGACATCACTGTCTTTATCTGCTCCTCGGAGTAGCAGCATAAATTCACACCAGGTGGGTGTGCAGCTAGAATGTGCCAGCACTGCTCTTAGGCTGAATACCCGCTTGTTGTGATGTCTCAGATACGTAAGATGCCTCTCAGTGATGTCTGGTTCTAATGAGCAGGGCACAGGTTGGACCAATATCACCCATTTTTTGTTGAGTTTCTCCAGGCACCATAATGTGAGAGCCAGCACTGAGAGGTTGACATTTGAGCTCAGGAACCAATTGACTGAAATATGCCAACAGGGTCTGAAAGGCCAAAAGTGCCTTCAGAACACAGCCATTGTTGTTAGCTCTCTGGCAGTTGTCATTTCAGGAAAACGCATCCACTTAGAAAGGTCAGCCCTTCATTAGCCAGACAAATGAGAACAACATATTGACCAGCTGATAAGGTGTGGGGAGCCCCGTCTCAGCCTCTGAAAGCCTGGCATTTCCAGTCCTTTAATCACGGCATGCCAGCAAGCATATGCTGTCTCAGAGAAGGCAGATCAGTGGCGTCTGAGGACCTGGTGTCACCAAG